TAATAATAATAATAATAATAATAATAATAATAATAATTGCGCTAAAGGCGTTGATGTTGCTCTAGTGGTGCGTGAGCGCCCTCTATGGTGAAAAGCGGAAGTGTTTTACGCAGGGCGTGATTGTGCGGCCCCTCCCCCTCCCACAGTCGATTTGGAAAAGAGAGAAAAAAAAAACTTTTTTTGTATCGAAGGAATCAACAGCCGCCATCTTGTCGTGGCTCGAAATTGGGATTTCAATCCAACACTAGATTTTTACGTAGAAATCTAGGACCCTCTCCGGGCTGCGACAGCGTCCTTTTGTAAAAAACCAAACCTTAACKTCGCTTCGGAGACATTTTGTGCGAAAAACGGTGGAATTGGTTCGGTGGTCGTCGACCAGGACCGCGTCGTACGTCTGATTTCCCCCTTCAGAGTGCGGCGATTTTTCAGCCCCCTGTCGCCGTTCGGGAGCAGCATTGTTCCCCGTTGGACAAGCGGGGGACCCGATCGTGACTTTCGAGGTGATTTGCATAAATACGGCCATTTTTTTTGTGCAATTGTGCATTTTTTTCCTGGAGCTTCGCGCGATTTTTTTTGCACGCAGAAATTGACGTCACGCAGAATGGTTGCTTTGAACATTTAGAATGTGCGACTTTTCCCCCGAAATGCACCTGAATTGGTTGGATTGACGTCGCGGAGCTGGATTTTTTTTTTACCCATGGCGACCCTTTTATTCAGTGTTATTTAATGGTGATAATGTGGGTGTCGGGTGTTGGATTATCATGGGGTGAATGGCGGTGGCGAAGCGGGGCGCTGTTGCATATCTTTTGAAAAGACTGACTCTAAACAGCGAGGAGTTAACAGAGCTGCTAGCAGGTAATTAGCCAGTTAGCTGGCTGCCAACATGCTAACGTGCTAACCGGGGAGTCTTGGTTTAATATCACGAAAATCTCCCTCTTAAAGTAGTTCATATTTGCTACTTAAGGATTTAGTCAGACTAAATAAAAAGCTTGCAATGGCTGAAAACATGCTGGATGTCGGACCTCCCAGCTCCAAGCGGCCGAAGCTGAATTCACCTGCCCTCTCAGCGTCTGATGGACAAGGTAAGGCCTCAACACTGTGCATTAAACATGATTTACACAACATTTACCCTGGTTTCCTGTTTCTCATGTAAATTAAATAACCGTGCAACACAGTTTCAGGTTTGTCAGGTGAGTTTAATGAGGCTGCAGATTATTTACACGTTGTTGTTTTTGTTTTTACTGTTGTGGGTTGGTTGTGTTTAACATGATGCTTCATTTGACCCATTCARCGTCCTGAATCCAGAACCACAACTACACACTAGGGTTGGGCATAATCGTATCGTGTGCGATTAATCGCCAGAAAAACATTAATCGATTAATTTTTGGCACTTGACAATTAATACGATTAATGCCACCAGGCAGACTGACAGCTTGGTGCTCCTCACTGATTCAAATATGACAAACATTAAAAACAAATTGTGTAATTTATTTATCTATCAACACAATTTAAAGTTTGATGTGTAGCCTGAAGTCTGTAATTTTGACACGAGCCAATTTTCTCCCTATAAATTGGTCATGTGACTAGGATATAATGGTGTCCAGGGACTCCAGGGGATTAATCGTCACATTAATCGTTATCGGCTAAATACCACAATTAATCGTGATTAATTTTTTTGTCTATATTGCCCAACCCTACTATACACCGTCTTCACAAGTTGTACTGCATAAATAACGTAATTAAGCACAATTATTTTGTGCATTGTACATTAGAGTTAAACATTTGTTACACTGAATTGGCCTTATTTTAATTAAACTGTACATTTTATTTGTGATGTTTCATGTTGTGGTGCAACTCATCTACTTTGTCACTGTAATCTATTCAGTAACGGAGCAAAACTATTTCAATACTTTTCCTTTATTTAAAGCAGAGGTGCCCAAACAATTTCGTCAAGGGGGCCAAAATGAAAATGTATTGGGGGCTGCGGGCCAAATGAAGTAATATAATACATGAAATACAAATATTTTTTAAGTAAAGTCCTTTATTTTTAACAATTAAGCCAGTGTGAAAAAGAAAAAAATTATATAGGTCTTCTGGACGGGTTCTTCTCTAATGAAACGTTTCGTCTCTCCTCCAAGAGACTTCTTCAGTCTGAGAGTTTCAGGCAAAATTCAGGATCTTTGCACTGTTTGTGCCGGGGCACCGGATCTTTGGGG